ATTAAGAATTCCTAAAAAAACCTTACAGGGGTGAGGGGCCTCCATCAGAGCAGGGCTCAGGGACAGCCCCAGCTCTGCTTTGTGCCTCTCCCACTCTGGTTTGTGCCTCTCCCCCTCTGCTTGCCCCACCCTGGAGAGCTCCTCATGGCCCTGTGTGTGGAATTGGTCACCTTTGTGTCCCCCAAAAAGCTTAATGAATGAATCTGGAGCTGCTGTTTTGAAAGCTGTCCAAAGAGGATTTGGATGCTCTGCTCTCATTAAAAAACTGGTGGGAAAACAGGTGCCAAAATCCTGCTGTTGACCTCTAAATCTGCCTGCACCAAAAATCTCCAGAGAGAGCTGAGAAAGACAAGTGCATCTTCAGCCGACTGGCACTGGTTGATATCACACCACTTTCAAGGTATTTTTTTTTCCTTATGTCTTTTTGCCCACTCCAAAATAAATGGTGGGGATGGGGAGAAGAAACCCACCTAAGAATTTTTTAAAATGTTGTTAATTTTGGATTGATATTCTTCTCTTATTTAAATTTCCTTTTAAAGGTAATTTAAAAAATCCAACTAGTCAACCAAAAGATTAATTTTCTTACTGTTCTACTTAAAACTATTTCTAGGTACAGAACTTGCCAGTCTTTGTAGGTATTGGCATAAAATAGGAGAAAATATTGAAAATTAAAAAATGTACTTTATTTTTCATCACCAAAAGAATATTTTTACATTCAAAGAGTGGGTGAAGAAAAGATAGTCAAAGCTTAATCTCCATTTAACAAAAACATTTCCATATGTTTTACTTATATGAATAATTCACAAGAAATGAGTCACAACTGAGGAGTGAAAAAAACTTCCATAGACATGAAGAATAATATTAACAAAGATAACTACTTATAACATATTGCTTTAAAAGAGCACTCAAAAATAAAGATGCTATAGAGGTTAGAGGGGACCAATATGCTTAATTTCTGCTAGCTGAGCTTTGTCATTTGGTAGTCAAGGTAAATAGTGCAGGTTTTATGAAAAGAAAATAAGTTGTTTTAAAAATTCATGATTCCTGCTTAACATATCTGAACTTTTATAAATTTAAAAGATACAAAGCATCTCAAGAAATCATATTGGCTCATTCAGAGAAGTGTTAAGCAGAATAATTAGAGTCCATCCATGTGATTGTAGGGAAGTTTCTGATAATCTGATACATTTCCTCTGGTGATTAAAACATTTTGCATGATGAGCTGAGACACTGGAGTATATTTCAGGTTTATAGATTTTTCAGTGTCATTGCAGTTAAAGATTAACAGGTCTCCCAGTGCTTGTTCTTGGAATTTAACAGTCAACACCAGAATAAATTAATCCAGATCCTCTTTCCAGAAAAGACCTGCTGCCCATCAGTGCCATGTCCCAGACAAAGGTAATCCTGATGTTTTTTCTCTGATATTCTTGGTGATGCTGAAGTTAAACATGCTTCATATCCATACAGATATTTTTGATAATTATTCATTGTTAGCCTCTCCATAGTGGAAAGTCTGTTACTGCATGAGCAGTGGTGTTCAGTATTTTGGAACTTCAGCTCTGCTGAGGCTGTGCAGTTCAGTTTGTTACCTTGAGAGTGGAGGTGGATGTGATGGAGCAAGAGGTTGAGGCTGCACAATGACACACAGAGATCAGAACAGGGAGTAAATCCCTGAAAATCCTCAAAAAAAGCTGTAAACAACAAAGCATGTGCTACAGATGCTGAAATGATCCTCCCTGCACACTTATTCCAGATTTCAGAGTGCCTGTTCATTTTCTATTGTGGCACTTGCAAGAGGCTTAAATTAAATTGAAAAAAAAAAAAAAAGATAATATAAATTTAAAATTAAATGCACCCCATGTTAACATAGAGTCAAAATACCTGTCTGCACTGAAGGAGGCCTTTCAGGCAGAAAAATCCCCAGAGGAAATTATTTGGTGAATGGCCTAAATATGGGTTAAAATAACTCTAAAACAAATATTGGAAATATACCACAAATAAACATTATTAAAATTCTGCTTATTAAAACTTCTTTACCAAAAGAAAAATCTGAAAATAAGTTTGAATGCCTGTCATTGTGATGGTGGCACACATCTCTCTGCAGGTTTGAGCAGCTGAAGGTTGTGTGTAGTTACAGAGGTGACATCACAGGATGCATCCATGTGTAAAGGTTGTGGATTCTGCCCAGGATTTATGGGACACAAAATTTGCTTTGTCTGATATCCTGTGTGAGTGGTGAACACTTTAAATTTCAAGTAGCTTCAAGCACACAATATTTGCTAGCACCATAGAAACATGTAAAGTTGCTGCAAACCATTTTCCCTCAATTTCTTTACTGAAACACTTCCCCTTACTTATTTTAAAAGCAGTAAGTATTTCCCCAGAGGATTTCTTGGCTTTCCAGCCCTTTTGCTGGTGCCAGATATCAGTGCCAGGGGTTTCTGTTGTGGTTCCAGTGCCTCTTGTGCAGGAATTGTCTGGAGGCCACAAACTGATTTGGCTGCAGGCAGCAGATGGGGCTGACAGGGCATTGACTCCTGGTGTGGTTCAGATTATAATTATTGACCCAGGGGTGAAAGGCTCTGGATCCCATTACCAACTCCCTGAGTCATCCTGTTCCTTACAGCAGGGCTGGGAACAGCTGATACAGGATGCTGCTGCTCGATAGCATCTGCACTAAGAGCACTTACTCAGATTTATTGGCCAGCATAACTTTCAGGTTTTGTTTATTGAGCAGCAAATAGGGATTTTTATGGAGCTGCACTTATGAAATCCTCAAGTCCTTATGCAGCTAAACTTTTTGCTGAAGACAGATATCTTGAATAAGAATTAAAGACAAGGCAGTCTGAAGTTATTTTAGAATCCTAGCATACTCTGATTCACAAAAATTTACTGGATATATTAAAAGCTCTGAATTCAGGAAATCCCCTGGTGTGATATTTTTCTGCTATGAATACTGTGGCAGTCCTTTTCATTTGTGGTTGGGACTTAGGACACGTTCTCCCTACTGCTATCTGAAAAGCTGCACATCTTTGCATTCCAGCCCTATTGTTTAATGGATGTCTCTGAATGGAGGAGAACTGAGATAAAAGGGACTCAGAGTTAGGGAGGAGAATCCTTCTTGCTCTTGGATGCAGGTGAAAATCTGGACCATCACCACCCTGTCATGTTTATCAGCTGGTTTTTTCTTTCTTTTTTTCACATCGCTCTAAACAACAGATGCTGTGTCCCATTCTGTCTGTATTATCCTCTAACCAGCTTTTGTTTGAATGATACAACAAAAATGAAGCTGCTAGGCACCAGATATCTCAAAATTTTCCCTACTTTCTTACATTTTTACAAAAAAAATATGGTCTGATTTTTTTTTTTTTTTTTTTTTTTTTGCTCCTCTCACTTGCTCTGAAATACCTCCACTTTAAAGTGCTGCACCATCCAAAAGTTAGTGTCAACTAGATCATTTGGTCTAACAGAAACAAAATTTTCTGGCACAAACCCCAAATGATCTTTTGCAGAGCTGTTCTCATAGGTGTATAGAAAGGAGATTTATACAATAAGAGCTAAAACTTAGAGTGGTCAACACTGGATTCACGTTGAACTTTTTTTCTCCAAACACACTTAAATTGTGGAATTGTTTTCCTGAACTTCAAGGCAGTGTATTTATTCTAGATATAAAATTTATAATCACTAACATTCCTCAGGTGTCTATAACTGGTAATTTCCCACACTGTCATGTGTTTGTACTGTTATTTTTTGTTGTTTCTTTTTTAACTTGTGCAATGTTAAAATTGTCATAGATTGTCAGGGAAACAAAGAAATTGCTTCTTTATATCCTCAATGCATTTGGTTAAGAATTAATTATGCATTATGAAAATTTTGGGGCACTGGTGAAAATATGTGAAAATAAAAAAAATATTGGTTATAGGAGCAGCGGCTATAAATGTCTGCTTTTATATGGAAATATAGCAAAAAATAAGAACAGAAGCTGTCTTTTTAAGTAACTTTTCTTTAAAAATATTGCTAGAAATTATTTATAGCATTGATTGCGCATCAAATTGAGGAGCAGATTTCTTATTTTTGATTATTTCTGATCCTCTTGTTCTTCCAGGCACCTTAAAGCCTGTAAATAGAAATGACAAATCATTCAGGAAAAACAGTTTGGAAACTCTTAGTCAAGAATGGCCAGGATTTCAAATGAGAAATGGCAAATGCAAAACTAAAAAAGAGTACTCTGAAGATTTTATAGGTTTTATTTTCATTAGCTGGAAAGGAGAGCAGTCTGGAAGGAAGTGGGCACATTAAATATAACTAAGTCTGCCACATTTCCATCTGCTTTTATGTATCCAAACCAGAAAGGAGCCACCTGCTAATCAGAAATGCCATGTCTCATTTATGAATGCAATTAGTCTATTTTAGTTAATTTTCTTAATTAGTTTGGAAAACTTTAAACATACGGGCAAACAGCAGAAGATCAAAAGATAACAGTGCTGCAAATGGAAGTTGTAAAAATATGATGAGTAATCAGAGGAGTTCAGGGCAAAATCAAAAATTGCAGCATAAACAAGGTTGTGGTAAAAGTAATAATTAAAGCCCCCAGCCAATTTAAGGAAAACATTATCTAAACAAAACATAGATTAAAAATGGGAGAGGGAGAAAAGCAGTGAAAATTGTGTCCCCAGTGCCTTGGTACCTTCCTCATCTCCAAAAATCCCATGATATAAACACAGACTGAGGAAAAGGCAAATAAAAAGAGCTCAGTTCACCATATTTAAGTATTCTGCTTAAGTACACAGGCCTACCTTTTTCCAGGTTTTAGCTGGTTCTTTATAACCTTTTTGCTTTTTCAGTTATTTTCATGTTAAAACCCTACATAAGTAGGTTATTTACTTACATACCACATATTGCCATTAAAGGCAACAGTAAGTGAATTTCTAGATTTTCTCAAGATTTTTACTCACTTTTTTCTTTTTTTTCTTTTTTTAAAAATTTTTTTCTTTTTTTATTTTTTTGTTGCTACAGCTGTGAGCACAGCCAAATGCAACCATGGAATCTGTACAAAAAAGATAGTGCAGCTTTCACTGAGGAGCAGAGCACCTCTGCCTTTGAAGGAGACTTTTGGGTTGGGTCAGTAATGGATTCATTTGTTGGCACTGGTTTTAACCTGGCAGCTGCTAATTTTGGTTTGGTTCGGTTCTGGCCAGTGGTGTTCCTGACCTTTGGGGTGAATTCCATGCCTTGAGCAACTTCAGTGACATCCCTGGACAAGCACTGATTCTTTTAGAGGTTTGCATTGCTATGAAGTATCCATGTAAAAGTCCATTCCCGCTCATTATTCTTCTTAATATCCCTGGAATTTCTCTTCCATTTCACCCCTTCCTTCTACAAATGTGCACTTCCAGGGTCAAACCACCCCAGGACCAAGAACTGGAGGATGTGTACCTGATATTTTGTATATTTTGGAGCCTGCTGGAAGCATTTTATGCAGCTTGGCTTGGCGAGGGGCACTCCTACCTTCAGCCCTTCCCAGCTGGAATTTCCCTGCTGGAGCAGTTCTTTGGCTGAAATTTCAGATCACTCTGAAACGTGCTGCATCCATTCCATGCAGCAGAGCAACAATGTCATTTTGGCACAAATGTGTTTGTTTAGTTGAATTCAGGAGATGTCTGGGATGTGCAACCTTGTTTTTTATGAAAGAGAGCACCCAGGTAGCCTGTGAGGCATCTGGAATGATTGAGTCAGGGAATGATTGGCTTGTAGCACGGAATAGACTTTTGGGATAAAGATGAGGAAGAGTGAGCTTTAATTAAAAATCCTCTAAGCTTATCTTCTCACTCAGGGGAACATGATTTTTCAACCATTAAAAGCAACTGGAGCATTACAGTATTCTAAAAAATGTTTTCTGGAAGGAGAAATAGCTCCTAATAGAGTGAGTCTTGCACTGTGCAATTCAGAAAATTCAGATGGGCCCCATTTGCTCTGCTGTGTAGAGGATGCGGTTTCTCCACTGATGCTGAACAGGGAGTTAGTCATCAGCTGAATTAAACAAAATCCAGGGAATTGCAGGGAAACTTTGGAAAAAGACCTCAACTTGAAAAGAAATGACAGAGCAGCATGAAGCACAAATTAACATTTCTCAATTGCCCAAAATACTGGTTTCACCTGCTCTGTTGTTGGAATTGATCTGCATAGACAGATAAAATATTGGCAGTTATTTGCAAATTGTCGCTAAATCAATAACTGGCACAAAACCACTTGAATTGAGCAGTTTTTTCTACCCATGGTGCTGCTGAACAGCAAGATCAGGCCGTTGTGAGAGGCTGGAAAATGAAAACACTGAGCTGTAGAGAACTTTTAGTTCTTTTGTGATATTTGTGACGTAGCTCAGAGACATTAGAGCTTCTCCATGCCTTGAATAGTATGTGTGTTGTACTGATATAATTGTTTCTGTCCTTTGTAGTTACAAAAAAAAAAAAACAACTCAGGGCCTATATCAGACAGCAAGTTAACTTTTTTCCTCTATGTACAATGCTTATTTTTTGTAGATTAAAGTGGAAAAAAAGTAAATAATCCCACAGCTCTCTCCCTTACTTCCATTACTAAAGAAAAAGTGAGTAAGAGCAGGTGTTTGAAAAACCCTGTCATATAAAGATTTCCACTTTCTTTGGATAGCAAGAATATTGAAAGGAACCTACAATTCCTGGTTTACTCTAGAAACAGTAACACTGACCTTCCTCTAATCCTTTTGACCTACTATTGTAAGGCTGCTTACAAACAGAAATAGAAACCACATGCTGTCAGTCAGGGCATCCTTAATTTCTCATCCTGAGTAAAGTAAAACTCAATCCTTTGTGCAAGAGCTCATAATTCTTCTCCTTTCTTGCAGCTGAGAAGGATCATAATGGAAAGCGACACTGAAAAATCACAGGTGGGCAAGAGTTGTGACAACACCTCTTAGAGCTGAAAAATATCCTTCCAAGAGAGAAAAGGATGTGGGTTTGATGGCTTTTTGTTTGTATGGTTGGGGTTGGTTGGGTTGGATGCTTTTTTGTGTGTGTGCTCCTACAGACAGCCTCTTTATTATAACTACCTTCCTTTAAAGGGGAAATTAACTGCTCATTGGAAATTAGTGTAATTGTCTTTTTAAGCCATCACAGAGCCATGGAAACAGTGGGGATGTTCAGGCAGGCAGACTGTAGGCCGAAGGAAAACCCCTAAAATGCCTTCAGCATAGATATGAGGACCTTAGGAACATGGGTTGGCACAAGAAAATTGTGAGAAGACAGTTTAATTTTGATTCAGCCATTTTAGTTTGTCTCAACCCTGGTTGTCAAAAAATATTTCCTTTTTAGGCAGTTCAGCTTGTAAAGGTAGATAGGCACTAAATAAATTCCAGTTTGTAGGACTGGGTATCTTCATAAATTCCTTTTAATTACATATGGAGGGATCAGCAAAAAAAAAAAAAAAAAAAAAAAAAAAGAGCAATTTTTTGAGAAGTCCTGGTTGTTTTGAGGTCTTGAAAGACACTGTCCAAGAAGGAACAAAATCCGAATTCCAGTTGCATGTATTAATAAATAGTTGATTAGAAGGGGTACTGTGCCTCTAGAAGATAACGTGGTTCTAGGAAAAAAAAAAAAAAAGTGACTATTGCTTTTTAAGAGCTAATTGGTGTTGTTGCCACTTTCTTAACCTTTTAGTCCCTTTATTTATTTATAAATGTTACTGTGTCTTGGCTCCTCATTTCTGCTAAGGCAATTTTGAATATGTAAAAGAATGGATTGCACAAACATCTCTCAGGATGGGGTTACGTATTAATGAACCTGCTCTTGGCTTGGGGACTGCAATAAGTCACCTTTATTGATTCTGTAGGGCTCAATATATTTTTAAAAATTATTTATAATTGTTATTTATTTAATTTTTTTACATTTTTTTATTCTGTATCTTCCTTTAGTGAGCTATAGTAAGAGGTTTTCTGGTGTGCAGTGTATCAAGCAGCTTGGATAATGGATTGCCATCCCAAATATCAAGCAATTCAAGTGATGTATTTTCATCCCATGACAAGTGAGGACCAATTTCTCTTGGGGTCAAAAGAGAACTGGTGGTGCAGCCATAGTTCAGAACAGCACAGAGATATATGAAGCTTTCTGTTTCCATGAAGTTCTTCATTTGCTTACAAAGTTCCTAATTTATAGTGAATAAATGTGTCTGGATATTTCCCAGTATTGGACTGTTTTAAAAAAAAATCAGTGAAAATCTGATATGACTGAGTTACTGAATTTCTTTTTCTGAGCTACTTGGAAGCACATGGATAGTAAGGTGATTGCTCCTTAATTCTTTTTGGAGTGATGGATAACAGCAACTGAACAGGGATCTTATTGCTTGTCAGAATGGGTTTGGTTAGGAGGAAACACATCTCAACTTCAAGACCAGGTTTCTCCTAGAAGAAAAGTACAACTGGTTGGGTGTCTTTAGCAGAAGCTGTGTATTTCAGATGTTCAAACCCCAGAGGGCAGATATTCAGATGCAAACTTGTGTCTGTGTGTGCTGGTTCCACTGGAGACTCAAGACTGGGTCTCCCCTACCTCAAGTTAGTGTGAATGTGTGTGTTTTCTTATATAAACTGCAAAGTTATCTCTAAGAATGATTGAGACATTCACTGTGGCTGAGAAATGGCCTAAAAAAAGTATTTTGAGAGATCCTGATTAGTATATTTCCCCAAACCCACCTTTTGTACTGATTAATTACATATTAAAACCAGATTGTCAACATTGTGAATTTGTTGTGAATTTTTGAGCTTAAAATATAACTATAGTATTTCTATTGCTTTCTTCATCAGGTTGTGCTTTAAAGTCATGAGATGCCATCAGTTTTGGGGAGAAATCTCTATCAAGGTCGTTCTGTTTGCCTCATCAGTTGCTCACTTACATTGGGGGCACCCTGCAGCGCACGGCGGTGCCCTGAGATGCCAATTACTCTGATCTGGAGTTTTGTGTACAGTAATTAAAGAGCCAGGTAGCAGCAGACATGTGTTAGCCCAAGATAACATGCTCCTTGGAAGGATCATGAGGCAGGAGGTGGAGTGAGTGCCTCCAGTGACCTGGGAAACTCCTTTATCTCAGCACTGCACGGGCCTGGGGAGCATTGCCACTGTGCACCAACTATCAGCACTATCAGCTGTGCTGGGATTGATTGCAGCATGTCAAACAGATGTTTAAAACATGTTCAGCCTTGTGCATCATGTGATGATTATGTCTGACTCTGAAGGACCAATGTATCAGGTGTGAGAAGATAGGAGCACAAAGTGTTTGGGTTTGGTTTTTTTGTTTTCACTGGGATATGCACGACTGGCAAAAGTTACCTTGAAAGGGACTTTGAGCTCCAGAGTGCCACAGCTTCAGCAAACCCAACATCCATAATGCAGGAGAGAGCTCACATGGAATTGGCTCAAGTAGAGCATTCAGAGCTGGTGTGTATTATTCCTTTTTTTTTTCACAAATGTAGGTGTGCATGAGCATGTGTTTGCACACACAGAGCGATCTCCACTGTGTTTATTTTTAACCCATGATTATTTTTTAACCCCCTTCCCAGTGTTGTGAGTTGTTCCATTTTTCAGGTGACTGAAAGGGAACATTTTTCCAGCAGCACAGAACAGCCTGGCACTGTCCCTGGGATGAGGGTTGGCTGCTCAGCACAGCCCTGGCAAACAAAGGGCTTTGTGCTGCCTGCTCTGCCCACAGGCACCACATCTCACCCAGAAGAAAGGTCTATCTTTAATCTGAGCTGCTCAGAAAATCAAAGGGGGGGATTAAAACAAGAGCAGTGACTGATTTCCGTAGGAGATCACTTTCCTGTTTTATTTGATAGAATGAACAAGAGAATCAAAGCAAGGTTAGGTTTTTTTTTTTTTTGGTACCTTTTTTTTTCCCAGCAATTTTTGTGATGTCAGCTCACAAGGTATTATAATAATGGAACACATGTGTGATAATGATTTTAGAAATTTTCCTTTTTTTTTTTTTTTTTTTTTTTTTTTTTAACCTTAGAATAATTTACATATAGCTGCTCTGGCAAGGTGTGTGCCTTCTGAGTCATCAGGCTTGTAGTTAAAGCTGATTAAATCTGCAGCTGTTTGTTTCTTTGCATTCTTTTGATCTCCGCTAAAAATAGCCCCAGTGCCTTCATAAGGACTAAATTTCAAAGGTATGGTGGGATATTGCTTCAACATTGGATATGAGCAGCAAAAATTTGATTTGTGCTGAAAGAGCAGTGAGAAAAAGGCTGGAGCTGTGGAAGAGTCCCCAGTCTTGGCTGGCCTGCCAAATGCTTTAACAAGGAGGGAAATGTTGTGCCCTTTACTGGCACTGCCTCCCTACAAGAGAAATATGCTTCTCTCATGTGTTTTAGACAAGCTGGTGATTTTTTTCCCCCTTTTCTTCTGTAAAATGAGGTTAAGGTGGCAGTGCAGGATCTCGGCTTAGTCTGTGCTGGCTTTCTTTGCACTTCAGTGGAATCCACATGGGATGGTGATATCCAGCTCTGCATTGCTGCTATTTCTCACTTTAATGACCCTGGTAAATCTTTAATGATTGCCATCACTGTCAGAAGGGCACAAAGGGCCCTCATCTGTCTTGATGCAACCTAAGGAAATATGCACGTATATGTCAGTTAAAATAATGGCATTGGTGGTAGGTCACTTGGTTTTTTATGGGTACCCACCTCCTCTTGCAAAAAGCAGCACAGAAATCCTACTCTTAATTATTATGATCACTTAAAACCCCTAAATGTCCGTGTCTTAGTTTTTGGTGGTTTTTTTTATTAACTAGGGCAGCACATTCCAGACAAAAATAATTGAGACAGGCACTTCACAGGAATGGGCCTCCTCACTTCTGTATTCCAGAGCAGCTGAGATATAAGAACTTATTTTAAATTAGGTATTTCAAAGTGTGAGATTTTCATCCAAAACTTGATTGAAAGTCCGTGTTAGAAGAATCCATCCTTCATTAGAACAAAGCTTTTTCCACCACTCAAGCATTGTTTCATCACGAGTGATTCCCTATCATAGCTTAGCCTTTAAGACATAATTCTCTCAAATTATGGGGTGTGCTAGCAGCCCTGAGAGTCAGAAACTGGATATACACATCTCCTGCTCTCATTAACAGCACTTGCCTGCCTAATTCACTGAGCAGCACAGAAAAAATGGAGCCCTGTGGGTCAACATCAGTGGATTCAATGAGGTCTTCACCTTCTAAAAATGTCATTAACAGGAGTAAGAGCTGGCTGTGGGCCCTGGTGTTTGCTACAGCCCCCTGGAGAGCATAAATCTGACACAGAGGTGCTCAGGCTTGCCTGGGGAAGCTCCCACCCATTGTTCCATTGTCTACCACTCTTGTTCATTCCATTTCTCCTGTGTCACCAGCTCATCTGAATGTAGGGGCAGACACTGAGCCCTTGCCACCTGTCTCCAACCTTCTTAAAATTAAATGTTCATGCTAAGCCTACTCATGTCTTTAAATGAGTTCAGCTCCCTTCAGAAGTTGCCCCCACATAGTTTTTCACACCTGGTTCAGTTGCAAGGCTCAAGCTGAGTTGCAGGTAGATCTGGACAAGGGGAAGGTTTTTCTGGTCACCACTAAAGCAGGGACTTGGTGACACTTCTGCTTAGTGGTGATGGAGTGTGGGATCAGACTAATCTGTCTCCTGCAGCTGGGAATTTTTGTTTCCCTTATTATAATGTACTCAACTACATATTAAATTGAATTTTTTCTTGCTTTCCATAGAAATTTCAAGGTGCTCTATCTCTGACCCTGATCAATGGGTTTATTTCAGAGCACTCTTCTTGGGCTGTTGTTCAAAACAGAAAGACCTTGAGAACTTTTCTGCTGTATGTGGTAGTTAATATTTGAATCCATTTAACATCCAGAGCATGAGATTGGAAAAGGGTGGATGACCTAGAAAACCCCAGTGTAATCTTATTTAAAAAACTAAAGAAGTATTCAAGCTCTAATAAATCATTATTTTATTAATAAACCATATATTCATAGCAGATTTTTATTACACTTCTATACTCACCTAACTTTGTAGTCTCTTTTGATTTTGTTTTTGTCTGCAGTTATTTTCCACTTCTAAGACATTTGATCTGTGTTTTCCTTTAGACCTCTGCCTCTTTGTATAGATTACTAGAAAGGAGCTCAATTACAATTTTGTCTCTGATGTGGATATTTCTTTATTGAAGGTTGTACAAAGGCATCCTTCCTCAAGCTCCATTTCAAACAGGGCTTCAAATATAAACTATAAAAAAAAATAAATAGCTAATCTGAGCAGACCTAGACATGCTTAATTTCAGCTTTCATGGCTATGTGTTTGGTACAATGTTAAGAGCCAAGTGTTCACAATCTTCTGTGTTACACAGTTTGAGCAGTCTCAGGCCTTCCAATATTCTATTTGAGGATTTTA